TAAACATATATTTCCAATAGCTTTCCACTATTAGAAACATATGTTTACAAGTCTTTTTACGCTCCTGAATCTCGAACGGCTCGTACGTTACGCGTTGTGGAAAAGGAGGGGGATTAACGTTAGGCAAGCAGCAAGTCAAAAATCGGTCGAAATGTGCAACATGTGCCAAACTCTGACGTAAATTAACATACGTAATGAATGCCGCGTGCCGCGAGAGATCGGTAACGTGTTGTTAGCGTTAACGTTAATTAAGAAGAATCGTCCGTCCGTGCATTGCCTTTATGCGATCTATGCGTATCAATTCGCGAATTAATGCGTGGCTATCGCGTAAGTCGGTCTAAATTGGTGAATATCAATGTGCGGTGTCATTCCGTTGCGGATTGCAACGCACATACAAGAATGTATTTTAATCTAGACTCACAAATCGCCCGCCATCGTAAACAGTCGTTACTAACGAGATGTCGTGTAATGCGCGCGTATGTCTACCGTCCTTTCCATACATAGATCGTTTTCCTGTCGAATTACGACTTTCTGTCTTCACCTCTTTCAACGGCGCGACAAACTGATAAGTAGTTAATTCTGATGGGCAGATAGGTCTCTAGACTAGATAGAGTTTGGTCAGCGCACATGCAGAATCGGCATAAGAATTCATGTCTCTAATGAATGCGAATCTTATATTTTTGCGTTACTACTTTAACGTAGCAGAGAACAGACGAGAGATTTCGCGACATAAACAAAACTTGAGATATTTCAGTTCGTTCCACTAATTCGAGACTAACAAGAGAAACGACAGGTATCTTCGTTCGGTTTGCGACCAAGAACGTTCGTCGGAATATTCGGCTTTCGGATGATGAATAATTAGTTCGATGTATCGAACTTGGTTTTTCTCTCCATATAGAAAAAAAAGATATTGCGTACCGTACGAGATTATCGTTTCTTCGTGCAATAACGGAGATGAAAAATGTCCTTTTTAACGAGCCACTTGTGGAACGTCAATCGTTTAAATGAGCGAGGAATTTGTTTATCGTGCTCGTTTAATCACATGATGGAGCATGAGAAGGCAGCAAACATCGACTCAATGGCTTGTGCGTTGTTAACAGGCTATCAATAACATCGAATTATTGTTTTATTTTTCCCATTGGCGATCCACGAACTAGGACTCCCCGTTAATGGTCACATCGACGCATGTTTACCTTCTATATTTGACGATGAACCGACGTCATACGACGGATAAACGCCAATCTACGCCACGTGTATCACGTGTGGCGTAGATACGTGGATGATGTGCAAGCGGGAGGAGTGTCTCTCATACCATACCATGAGACGATGAAATTCGTTTGTACGATCAATTTCTATTGGAGGAAAAAGTTGGGATGAAAGAGGCGTGAGCGAAATGAACCCTCGTCCCTCTTGCCGTGCCCGTGCACGTGCAACAGTGTGCGCTTTGGCTTCTATCGCTTATTATATACCTACGCGCGCTCTAGCCTCTACTTCTGTTCTATTAATTCTTAATAAGGAGAGTAAACATCGTAGACTGCTTGCCGCCGCGTTTTCAGCCCGACTGCGGCGCTACATGACTCGATTCGATGCGACGCCAACAGAACAGTTTGTTCGGAAGTATTCGAGTCGCTTATTCCTGTAATCAGTTCCGTTCCCATCGCCGATGGGAATTGCGTGGCGGGAAGTATTCGCGAGGCACATTGAAGAGCAATATTTGTGCAATTCCGTGAGATCCACCACTAAATTTTGACTCGATGTTGCTTGCTTGTATCCCGGGACTTGCGCGGACGACACGTACATTATTGCAATGCAATCGCGCATGAGTCGCGGAAAAGTATACGTTTTTATATAGGTGCATTTGTATATCGCAATTTCGGGTGGGATATCGAAAAGTGGCAACACGACAACGGGTAATGGATCAATGGCGAACGATAAACATTTGGTAAACATCGCGCATAGCCACGATTGATAGCAGACGTCAATAAACAACGCTCCTATCGGGAAGCGACGAGCTGCGATTGGTGCGCCTAGCCGATGGACGAGTCGTTTATCGTATGCATCGTGCAACCTCTCGTCGAATGTGTAAGCTCTGTCGCTTCTCCTGACGATGGCGACACAAAAATGTAACGTCGTCGAACGACGTGGACGAATTGTAATGGCCGATCGCTCGAGCGTATACGAGACTTTTTCACTTCGCATTTTATTTCTTCAAGATACTTTGTCAATGGAAATGTACGATGCTTGGCGATTGTGCGTGTCACACAGACGCATCGCATTAATTTTCTCGCGGACATCTGACGTCAGGGGAAAGTATCGTATCGTTAAACTTATCAATGGTTTCGCTCATGATCACTTTCAAACGCAACTATTTGAAACGCGATCGATAGATCGATGCAAAAGTGACATTCTGCACTTTTCTCATTCCGATGCACAAATAATTGTACGACTATTTCAGCATGGTATTTAGGATAAGCATAAGCGCTCGGCGTGTTAAACTCTTGCGCTTTAAGATCTCTCTCTCTCTCGCTCTCTCTCTCTCTCTCTCTCTCTCTCTCTCTCTCTCTCTCTCTCAGCGATGTCCTACGTTTCTAGATTATAGACTGTATTCTATTCGCGCGCCATCAAATTGCGAATGGACATTCACGAGTAGCGTATGTCGCAATGTATCGCGCGTCCGATTGCGTCCCCTTCATGCGAAGAAAACGGAAAGAGGTCCAGGCGATAAATTTGTTTGATACGTACGCATGCGTGTCATGCACGCACCGATAACTGATAACCGCGACGATGGAGCATTGACACTCGCGTTTGATTCACAGCCGCACGTTTCTTACGCATATCCTTCTTCTTTCCAAACGGATCTTACTGTCTTACTGAAATATCCAAATAAGATAAATCCGAGATCGTTGATCGCAATTTTCAGCGAAAATATCGTCGGATATTGGGTTATGAGTGATTTTGATATCAATCAAGAACGCTCCTCTTTCAGTGCGTGCGGCGATTGGTGCGCATAACCTGATGGACGCGTCGCTTATCGCACACATCGTATGCAACTTCTTGTCGTAAGCTCTCTCGCTTTTCGTGATGACGACGACATTATCGAATATGCAACGCCATCGAACAGCGCGGACGGACTGTAATGACCGACTATTCGTGCGCGTTTTCTTTTTTTATTTCGCTTTTTATTCCTTCAGGATGCTTCGTTAGTGGAAATTTACGACACTTGTGCGATTGTGCGTGTACACGCGCGTGTAAAATGCAGCGAATCGCTTTCGGCTCTTCTTTCCTCTGCAATCGCCTGAAGAATGACAAAAATTATCAGAACACGACAAAGATTAAAGAGGAAAAATATCCCAGAAAGGGTAAAAGCCGCGTATAAATGAATTATCGTTTTACAAAGTAGAATTCAGAGTTGTTTTTGTTGCCGCTATGACACATGTTTATCAGTTAGACTTGTCGCCTAATGATGCTTACACTTGTTCCAATATATACACGTATACGTAGTCTTATATTTATTTTTATCGTACGCATCATACACAGATATTTTAGGACATGTTTTCGCGCTTCGCATAAAATCATTCCTACTTTGAGAACCGAGTAACACACGGTTCGATATCAAATTACAAGCACGATTAAAACGTTTATTGAAACCCGGTGCCTTCTCGTTCTGATTGATAACGCTGCGTTATTCAAGAGACATTTTTAGCGCGTCTCTAATTTCGTAACATTGATCAGAAACGTCAGTAACGAGAGCATCATAACGAATGTATAGTCAACTAACCGTGAGTGCGAGTGGGCAGTTTTCGCGGAATGTCGTCCGAAGCGACGCAGACTTTGTTGGATGTAACACAATTCAGGTTGCACAAATTAAACTACATTCGTATGGTTGTAATTAAAAAATTCTAAATCTCTGTTATATATATATATATTTTTTTTTGTCTGTTTCACAGTTCTTTTTCATATTTTTTCACGATGTATATTTGTACATACCGCATCGCGCGCGAGATGGTATGATTGTTTCTTTCTTCCAAATTTCTCTTTTATTCTCTTGAATTGTGATGAAATTTATTACTCTTTACAGAACACTGTAAATACAAACGTAAGTACGTTAGTATTTCGTGAGAGATGCGACCAGTCGAAGCCAGTTGAGTAGAATTGGCTAGAGCTCGAAATATGATTATGGAGTTTAATATTTTTCGGCCGTCGATCTTTAGTCTTTGAAAGCCTAGCAAAATATTTTTTTCTCGATTATATGTTGCATTGTCGAGCGATGCTATTTAAAATATTAAACGCAACGTAGGATAAAAAAAAGTTGATTGAATGGTTTGATATTTTTTGATAGTTTAAAACGACATCTCTGACAAGGATTGTAAGAGGTACGAACAGTTTATAAGTACAAAATACAAATATTTGATTTTATATATATATATATATATATATATATATATATATATATATATATATATATATATATGTGTGTGTGTGTGTGTGTATGTATCTTTTGTGTATATTAAATACATAAAAAAGAGCGTATCTGTATTTACAATTTCTTTTCTTTTCGGTAATATTAGATTAATATAATATTATTAACTGTAATTTTATCTCGCAAATTGTAAAAGTTAATACAGATATAAATTATAGCGAATATCGGTTGTATTATAACGGCACATCTTTATAAAAATTTGAAATGCGTACATGTTTGTACGTATCTCGTATGTTATTCTAGTTGCTTCGCGATTTGAGTTCTTCCTTATAAACACGAGATCTGTAATCAATCGATAATAACACGGGGACTACCTATCAAAAGCAAATGTCTACAATGATCATGACATTGCAGTATTCCATATTTTAATTTTTTAATAATCGCCGTACTTCCGCAAATTACTTCTTTTTCTTTCGATCGACTTAACGACTAAGAGTCATCTCTCATGTCACTTTTCGTGCTTAATTCTCTTCGAAAGACATGTAAAAGAGTCGGCATAGTACACCAGGAATGTGTGTTTTGTGTATGTGTATTGCCTAACCTATTTACATATCATTAGTGGTATAAATATGTATAAATGCGGTAAAATATGCGTGATTTCTTGCTAAGAAATTTCATCATTTTTCCTTTTTCTAATTTCATAACATTGCATTCTGTACAAGTTTCTAAAAAAATCACAAATTCTATTTTAGAAAATATATAAAAAACAATCAGATCTCAACGTTTCTATATACAAGTGGGAATTTTTGGCAACAGGGATTTTACGTTTCTCTCCCTTTTTCTCGTCACTTTGTTCATCTAATTCGGGAAGCGTACAAGTTGATGACCAATTAACTGACATACAACTGCGTATCACTATGGTAACACAAGTTATATCAACATGTCATGTATTTGATTACAAGATGACGAACTTTTTTATCCGATCGACCCGATCGATGATACGTTACTTTCCAAGTAATTTGCAGGGCAACTAGTTGATTCGATGCTCTAATGCATCAATCATAATCATTCCATTACATACCTAGGCTATAATATGTATCCAACGTTTAACGTATAATAGCAAAACTTTCGATGTAACGTAGCGTGAGCAAATATTTTGCGTGCTTTTATATCACGTACAACATATAAATATGTATATGTATGTTTGTTCTTGAATATGTGGAAAATATTCTACTACATCTTGCGCATGGAAACTCGACAAAGTCGAGCAAATAATTGATAGAAGCGTTTCTTCTTTTTTAAACGTTCGTCGCATTTCAGTGCATGTAGTCGTAATTCTACGTACGCATAAATGAGGAGGAATTGATTGTTGCGACACGAATTATTCCTAAAGAGACACAATAATACTACGATACAAGTAAAAAGATATGGAGTCAAAAGTACATAATCACGATGTATCACGCTCTTTGAGTGATATTTAAAGTATAAGGCTACTTGTTTACTTTGTTTCATAAGAAAAAGAAGAATGTAGATATTTGAAAATACCTCTGTAGAAAGTGGCTCGGCCATAATTTTTCCACTCGCGCGCTTACATGATTAATACCCTGCGACAATTTGAAAGACTACTTTTGCAACATGTTTCGTGGCTAATGCATCGTTCATAAAATATAAAATATCGTTGTATTTGCGCAACCGGTAAACCTTTGGATAGCTGTTAAAATTTGCAAAACTCAATCAGGCATGTTTGGTAAATTTGTGGATTCGTTCCGACGTTGCAATCGCTCTGGATGCGAACAAGCCAATTGGCTGAAATCACGAACAACATCGTTGAATGTTTCGTCACCTGTGACGCCTATCTCCGAATCCTTCATTTCTTCGTTTAAGAGTCCAAGCCGCAGTCTGGAATGTATAAGAGTCAATGTAATCGAATGCGATACATTTTATCAACAAGCAGATTTTGTGTCGCACGACACCTACAATGTAACGATGTCAGCATTTGCTTCCTTTACAGCGATCGACAAAGGCTTTACCCCGTTTTCATCTTCGATGTGTTGATCGGCATGATGTTTCAAGAGTAAGCACACTTGCGCGGTGTGTCCTATACAATGTACCATGTGTACCATGAATAGTTGAAACACATGAGTGAGTGAGTGAGTGAGTGAGTAAGAGAGAGAGAGAGAGAGAGAGAGAGAGAGAGAGAGAGAGAGAGAGAGAGAGATATCAATATATGTTATAATATATAGGTAATATCAATATATAGATACCCAATTCAGTCGCCAAATACAACGGCGTTTTTCCGTCGGCGTCTCGACAATTAATTCGTGCTCCATTCAGGAGAAGATATTCGCACGACATAACAGAACCCTGCGTACAGACAATAAACGTACAATCATGTTCAAGTGTTGTGAAACTCGTTTTACGCAAGTTTTGGTTCTGGTGAATTGAACTTATGTATAAAATGCACACACGTACGCTTATTATCGCTTGATGTAGAGCACTGCGACTTTTATCGTTAACATTGGACCACAATTTGTCGGCGCCAGCCGCCAATGCCGCACACATCACGGGAAGATTATGAGCCGCTGCGGCTTTATAAAGCAACATGTCGGGATGCAGATTTTCTATATCTTCCTCGTCGGTAAATTCTTCGTCCTCACCAGCTGTAGAATCTTGATCAGAGCTCACCAATTCTAGACTGCCATCGATCGTGGGTTTCGGCACATCGCAGCCAAACATCAATACGTTCGATTCCGCTTTATCCTTACAATGTTTTTCCAATTTGGGAGACTCCTTACTTTCCAAAATGTCTTTGTCATTGTCTTTGGTGTCGTCGGCGCGCCTGTCGGAATTGTTCCTTGTTTCGCTTGTATCGTTATTTCGACTACTGTCTAAACGAATATCTTCACCGCTCACCGCTTCTCTGCAGGACGCGGTGCTTTTCACGTGTTTATTAGTAACGTTGTTGAGATCGTGTTGCGAACGATTCAAGATTCTTCCGTAGAGAGCAGAGTTATTTTTCAAATCCACATTAGCACCGTCATCCGAGCCGACAGAATTGCGCCCCGTAAGCTTTGCCTTGCCAACGGAATTTAAACTGTCGATCGATGTGTGTTTGCTGTCGTCCGAGCTCGTCGAGTGATTGCTTTCTTTTACGGACGACAACGCTCTATCGCGACTGCCATCGTCGATCTTGTCGCAACTGCGTGGTCTGCGGCGTAACTTACGTACGCTCCACTTTCGAAAGTACATTTCGTCTCGACTGACGTGATGCCCGGACGGTAGCGCGTCGGTTACAGGCTTTACGAATTTATGATCTACGTACTTTGACTTTATCCAGATTTCCCGAATGTTACTGAGAAGAAAGAAAGGATATTTTTTTTGCCAAACGCAACTTTTTCACTAGACAACACACTCACCCGTTGCATTTTGGCGTAGCTTTGGTAATGTCGGCAGGTATAGGTAAAGCCTCGTATATGCTATTTACCACGGTGTTGCCTAATTCTGCCATCACCTTCAGTATTTCCGGTTCCCAGTCGTCTAGAGTTAAGGAACGTACTTTGCTGTAGTGTACACCGAGACTTCTGTGTACACCGGAGCATTCTGCGCATACGTCAGAGCAAAGTGAATGCGTGTAAGTGGCAGAAATATTTGGCGTAGTCAAATGAAGAAAACTCACCTATGCAGAGTGTAATCCCCAGATTGATGCTGGCCCATCGTGGGTTAATATCGCCACAATCGCAACAAATCTCATTGCCAGATATCTTCAATAACTGCTCCCATACTCTAGAATCAGGATTGAGATCAGATTGCGCGTAGGTGTCGCGCGTTGAAGTATATTCAATACTGTGCGATCACTTACGCCGAACTTACCTCGATTTAGGTCTCGTTAGCGGCCTCGCGGGGCCCTTGCTGTCGCGCGACTGAGATTCACGTGGATCAACGTTCGCGTTTACACTCATTCCTCTTTGAATGGCAGCACCGATAGCTTGCTGCATGGCAGTCACCCATGCCAAATAAGTTTCTTCACTGTCCGCTTGCAATATGTGACTCCTACGAATAACAAGATACTCTTTATCTTATGGCACACTTTTCCTTCGCGTTCGTCACTGCGCATTCACTTACTTAGTCGGACTTAAAACTTCGAAACAATTCCTCCTGTCGCAATCGACTACTGGTTTTACGGTGCATAATCGTAGATCTTCTTCCATGATTGTATAACCTTCGTCACCTGTTCGCTTTCGATAGACCAGCTGATGATCCTTCAAGCAGAACCACCTTCTGTTCCAGGTTTTGAAAGCATTACTCGTTCTTTTAAACAAATATCCCTCCATCTTGGGATTGCCAGGTACAGGAGAGGGAATCAGATCCCTATTGTTAACGTAAATATGCCGATTTTCCATTTCTTTTTCGAGCTTATTCGTATCACCTCTCATACTGACTAAGTTCTCGCCGAGATCTCTCAGGAATGGATCCAAGTCTTGAGCAAGATCACTACCTTGGTGGTAATAAGTGATGCATGCATGCATGTAACTCAGCAATGTGCCTAATATTTCGTGGCGTTTGCGCGCTTGTAGCATCGTCAGCGCGTGAATGTAATCCAATGCGGTGTGCCGAAAACAAGATCGTGTGGCCGAGAGGATATTCGAGGCTTCCTCATATTCTGCCGGCCGAGATTTTGGCACCTGAGAGTTCCTATTTAACGCGACATCCAGGTCGCTGGAGATCCTTTCAAAATAATGCCGTGACTCCTTTACTCTCTTGATGTCGCTGGAAAAATATTGAGGCACAATTTTATATAGTATTTATATGACAAATTTGTCCTCTACCATCCCCGGTGTATCTTACTCACCTCTTGATAAAATTATTAAGATCTTTCATTACAGTCCTAGAAGCTTGGTCTAACAAGATACTATGATACTTGTTCATCTCTTGCAGAGCATGAATGAGTTTGTTTAAAAATGCCATTATTTCTGGATCATCGCTGAAGTACAGAGACAACTCCCACAGACTATTGGCAAATTGGCTATTGGCAAGATGACAGATTATTATTATTATTGATGTGGCTATGTTGTAAACTGGAATATCAGACATGTCAAACATACTTTTGCTGTCCAACAAAAGTTTTTCCAGTGTCAATGGTTAGGCTGCAATTTTTTAATACCTGTAAATAACAAAGTTGTAGCAAAAGGTAGCACAGGACAAAAAAGACTATGTATATATATACATATTCTTGGCACCAGCCATATAATGTAATAATTATGCCGCAATGGTCCAATCGATAATACAAACAGTATATGCCTGCCTGTGTTACTGTAACAACAGTATTGTGCCAATACCTTATCCAATTTTTGTTCAAGTTGATCTATATCTCCTTCTACCTCCTCGATGCAGGATCTGTGTAAGGTTTATGAAACACAATTCACATTATAACATTGCTTTGCATACTCAACAAAAGATCAACAAAGGAAAAAAGAAAAAGAAAGAAAAAATCTTGGAGCCGCAAAGTAAAAGTGACGCAATTAAAAATTTATCAGTAGTTGTCTTTGGTTGATTAAGTTCAACATAGATCTTACCGAAACTTGGGAGTATCTCGTAAACATTCTTCGAATTCGATCAAAGGCTTCATTTTGTACTATTTGTTTTCCGAGAATTTGAAACGCAGGTTCGTTTGACGTACTGCTATCTCGAAATGCTGTGCGCGCGATATTTCCCATGAAACAATACCTTGGTTAATAATCCGGCACAATTACTAAAAACTATGAACTTTCGCGTAGTCTGTCAAACATGCGAGCTCTGGTCTGAACCCAATCGAGTCAATTGAAGCACGGCCTTGACGTTTAACAGTGCTATCAACATATGTATGCACATACACAACTTCCATAGTTGCGTCCCAAAACTCGACGAGTAGAGTAGCATTTAATTGACCAATAAGAACAAAGATAAGAACTAGGATTTCTTTATCATGATTGGTCAATTAAATGTATTCTACCCACCGAGTAGAATTTTGGAACGCGACCCATCAGGGTTCCTATTCTTGAAATAGTTGCGTATATATAAGTTTTACTGCGCAGGTTTAATCATACTATAAAATAGCTGCACAATGAAAATTACGTATACGCAACTAGTTAGAGAATTGAGCCCCACGCCTGGAGCTCGATTCTCTAACTAGTTGCGTATACGTAAGTTTTACTGCGCAGCTATTTTATGGAATGATTAAACCTGCGCAGTAAAACTTACGTATACGCAAGTTAGAGAATCGAGTCCCTGGACCCCTATTCTTGAAATAGTTGAGCATACGTAAGTTTAATGGCTCCTGCACACAGGACGCGGTAATAGGCCTGTTCTTTGTAGCTGCACTACTGAACTAGTGCAATAAGTTAGAGTGAGAAAACGTATATTTGTTTCACTTCAATATATTGCACCAGTTCAGCAGTGCAACTACAAAGAACAGGCCTAATGTTTGCCGCGCGGCGGGATTCCGTGCGAATCAATATGTTGTTTTTCCATAAGAGCTAGAAGGTTATTACGGAAAGCAGCATATTCATTGGCTGTCGCGCGAACTTTCGCCGCGCGACAAACATTACCGCGTTCTGTGTGCAGAAGCCATTACTGCGCAGGTTTAGGCTGCGTTCCGAAATTCGCTGCCAGTGCTGAAATTCTATAGTATATGTGACATAAACTATAGAATTTCAGTACTGGCAGTGAATTTCGGAACGCAGCCTTAATCATACTATAAAATAGCTGCGCAATGAAAATTACGTATACGCAAAAATTGTAAGAATAGGCGCTGAAAGATACGGAACGAAACTTTTAATCGCCCCGATTAGGAATATTAACTTTCTCTAGAGTTTAATTATATTCACTGACTTTTCGAACACAACTGTAACATTTATTAAAGTTCTTTGACTACAACGGTTCTCCTTATTACTACTTCGACCTTAAATCTATTTCGCAACGACTAGTCACGCGTGGACTATTCGGGTGCGTTCTCTACGGCGGCTGAAACGAGAGTCGTTCCTCTTCGAGATGCTTTTTGGCGCTATGCGCTCTTCCGGGATCTTTTCGATTCTTTTCGATGATTCTCGCAAGTTTGTCTCTTCCGCCATGCGCATATCGCGTGCCTCTCTCGCTCTTAATTCCTACTTCGCCCGCTGGCGGCGCCTGGATGGCTAGTCGGTGACCGATTAGTGGCGCCATCACGCGTCAGCTCTTGGTCCTACCTTACAGGGCCCTGTCATCTAAGGGTGCGTTTAGATTCTTCATCCTGGTGTACTCTATTACTAGAAATACTATAGTATATGTTATACTATAGCACTTCTAGTAATAGAATACACCCGGGTGTGAAATCTGAACGTAGCCTAATAGAGTGAAGCCAACATCTAGGCCGGTATTCATAGTCGAATCTTATTTCAAGACCGTTTTGAGTAATGTCTTAAGATGCGAATACGGCTCTGTGATTGGTTTATGATATCATAAGACAATAAGATGATCTTAAATATAAGATTGGACTACGAATACCGGTCCTAGAAAGAGAACCAGAATAGAGGGGCTACGGGTTTCTTTCTATTTTGTCACTTTTTTGTAGCGCGTGCATCCATTTCTCGTTTCCATAATATTATAGAGTGCAACAGCACTCCGACTAGACTGGCAAGTAATGGCTCTTGCACACAGGACGCGGTAAAGCTCATTCTACAATTGCGTGAACGAGGATGTAAGTGGTTGTAAGTGATTACGATAACCAATCAGAGTAAAGCAATCAGTGAATAAAACATTCGGATTGGTTGACTCTTACGTTCACGACTACGCTTACGCAATTGTAGAATGGGCTTAATGCTTGCCGCGCGGCGGAAGTCCGCCCGACAGCCAATATGTTGTTTTAAGCTCATTCTACAATTGCGTAAACGAGGATGTAAGTGGTTGTATGTGATTACGACAACCAATCAGAATAAAGCAATCAGTAAATAAAACATTCGGATTGGTTGACTCTTACGATCACGACTACGCTTACGCAATTGTAGAATGGGCTTTAGACCGTAAGAGCTAGAAGGTTATTATGGAAAGCAGTATATTAATTGGCTGTTGCGCGAACTTCCGCCGCACGGTAAACGTTGTCGCGTCCTGTGGGCAGGAGCCATTACGGATCATTGGACCCGCACCTTAAAAGTCTTATTTAAATTTTATTGCACACTTTGTCTGTGCAGAAAGAGACAGAGAACACAGAGGGGCTGTGTATATTGGCTTCACTTTTCTGGCCATATGCGGAGTCCATGTATACTACGTCCATGGATGCGACACGCGATATATGACACGCGATATCCAATGAGCGTACAGCATTTCTGAAATACCAGTACGCTCATTGGATATCGCTCATCGCATATTGCGTGTCGCGTCGTAAATCGCGCTGGCTGCGAAGGCCATAACCAATGTAAAGTAGCACACGGTGCTTGTTTTCGTGCTGGGCTGCGTTCCGAAATAATAAGTGAAATAAGAATCGAGACGCAATTAGGCAGAGTCGTACGTTTCTGATCGCGGCTCGATCGCTCGGAAACGTGCACTCTTCGTTAACGACGGAGCGAGTAGTTACTGACTACAGTTCCTCACAGACAAGAGTTTAGCGTTATGAAAAGCGAAGAAATATATATATGTGGATCTTCTAACGTCGATAGCATCACATCTTGATAATTTTTTTTAATAAATCTTGATAACTTTACATATAAAGATGGATATGTCAGCCGAAATTACAGAAGAGAGCAGCGAGAAACCAGTACAAACCAGTCCTCTGGTACAAGTGGTACGAGTCCCAGTGAAGCATACTAATTTAGGAATACGTAGTCATGCCATGTAAGTTTCTCAAGTAAAAGAGATTTGTGGCTCTTCCTTGTCAGAACTTTGATTTTTTATTTACTAGGGATATGAGCACAATGGTAGAACTCACATCATTTAGTACACTCGGAAAGATACAGCCATTTTTGGTGACTGTCACAAGTACTGCAGCCCTATTAGTGGATTTACATTGTCACTTAACAGACAAGGAAGTTTGTGGTTACTTAGGTGGACACTGGGATATAAATTCACATAGTACATTTCATAACTACTGTGTTTAATTGTATCAAGTACATAGCTATTTTATCTAGTATAAAAACTAAATATCATTTGATTGTACTACATATTATTGTAGATCTATCCATAACATGTGCATTTCCATGCCGCTATTCCGGCAAGGATAAATCAGCTGCAGCAGCTGTGGAAACTGAAATTGCAAAAGCCATGGAATGGAAACATGTTACACTGGTAGGTTGGTATCATTCTCATCCGCGCTCTCACGCATCACCCTCCCTGAGAGATGTGGACTCTCAATTAGACTATCAAATTAAAATGAAAGGACTTAGTGACAACGGATATATACCTTGCGTCGGATTAATTTGCTGTAAGTATCTTTGAAACATTCTCTTCTTTAATAACTTTGTAATTATTTTTTCACTTTCTGTAGCTCCGTACAACATGGATGGCAACTGTTACGAGTCAAATTTTAATGTTTTTTGGTCTTTGCCTCCACCTGAAAACAGACCACATGAATATCCTCGACCCATGCTTCTTAGTTACACGTTATCGCAGGAGCATTTTCTTTCTCAAGATACGTTGGAAGAAATTGCAAGTATCTTTTTGGTTTGTCTGCTACAGACCAAATAAATATAACAAATATGTGTGTGTGTGTGTGTGTGTGTGTGCGCGCGCGCGCGTGTGTGAATGAATGAGTGATCTCCACATATTAAATTTTAGTCTTTGTATAAAAACTTGTCAATTAAACTATTCTTATCACACACACACACACACACACACACACACACACACACACACACACACACACACACACACACATATACAGGGTATGTCCCACACTGGTAGAACACCCGTTAAGGGTAGGTAGAGGGTGAAATTTGGAACTGAAAGTTCCTCTTCCATTTTCCGACAATTAGTTAATGAGATATTAATTAAGTCTGCTAATCCTTTAGCGCCCCGTGTGAGCGCTGAGGGCCGTAGGGTGCCGCGGACTCCTCAGGGGCTCTGCTTGTCCGTTTTTCTCCTCTTTTTTGTATCACAGAGGAATAAATATGGATGAGTGAGTGAGTGGGTATGTGAATAGCTGCCTGACCGGGGCTAGGGGGTAGCAAGTTTTTTATGTGTGGGAGTGATGTATGGGTGTTTTTGTGTGCGGTTATGAGTGCATAGATAATTTAAATGTTTTTAGTGCGAGTGGGTGGAGTGATTGCACTTTATGTGCCGGAGGGGGAGGGCATGTGTGGTATGTTTCCTTGGAGTGCGTGGGTCACTTGAATGTTTTCTACATGTCGATGGAGTATCGTAAATGATTTTAGTGTGTGTGTACAAAAAGGGAAGAAAAACGAACAAGCAGAGCCCTTGAGGAGCCCACGGCGTCCTACGTTCCTGAGCGCTCACTCAGGGCGCTAAGGGATTGGCAAACTAAATTAATTAATATCTCGTTGACTAATTGTCGGATTAAAAAATGGGAAAGGAACTTTTAGTTCCAAATTGCATCCCCTACCTACACCTAACGGGTATTCTACTAGTTGTGAGACACCCTGTATGTATGTATATATATATATATATATATATATATATATATATATATATATATATATATATATATGTGTATATATATATAAAATTTATTTTTTCAGAGGAGATGTATAGAATATTATAAAAGTGAAGGTGGTATCGACTTTACTGCCAATTTTAACAACAATACAACTTACCTCGAACGCTTAAGAGTGAGTATATTAACAATTAATTAACAAATGTAAAGACAAGTAGACATTCTGAATGTAATATAGAGTAATATAGAGATAAAGAGGCAATTATTTACAAACCCGTTATATGTAAATAGAACTTGTAAAAAACTGAATTCTGCTTTTCCATTTTCAATATACTATTTCAAGACATACACACACACACACACACACACACACACACACACACACACACACACACA